CGAAGCAATTTCCAAAAATTCTCCACCTTTTTCCCTCCACGAAGCGCTGTACCTTTCATGATATCAAAGTGAATCACAAATTCCTCTGTCTCTCTTTTTCACGTATTTTATTTTTCACCAATGGCTCGAATGAATACGTACAAATTAGCGTCGGAATCGGGGATTGGCGCGAGCGGGTGGAAAGGGGGTTTACAACGCGAACGGGGGACAACGGAAGCAGAGGAGGAGGAGGAGGAGGAAAGAGGAAAAATAATAATAACGCTCCTCGCCGGGGGTCTGGCTTATTGTTAGCGTCCTCGGTAGGCGCATGGTAATTGAGAAAGTTGCGCTCATTGTTGGCAATCGAATTTTTATATCGTTATTCTCATTATCGTGCGAATGTTTAAGCGGCTGTTGGCGAACGGGGAACAGCCGACGTAGCAATTGTCGGCTATTAATAAAAGCGCCGCGGCTCTCAATTGCTGGCGGAGGGAAGAGAAAGAGCCACGAGCTCGTTGCGTTTATATATTTATATATATATATTTTTTTTTTTTTCTCCCCTCCCCCTTCCTTCTTTGCAAATGAGCCGAGCAATCGAGCCGTTTCATAATTCAACAATTCCAGCCTTCCATTCTTTTTTTTCCCCCCTCTCACTTTTATCCATTTCGTTTTATTTTCCCCGTCTTTTCTTTTTCTTTTTTTCTTTTTTGTTTTTTGTTCTACCTACTCGCTCTATTTATCCACTTGCTTTCTCTATTTGTCCGCCATGAACGCGATCGCGCAGAGTAAACATTATTTTTGTATATTTCCTGCACGCGAAGGTAGTATGACGAGAGGGATTTTCGAGATGAGAAAAATTACGACGTAATCCCGGACAGAGCGGTGTGCTTGCGCCACGAGTGCGGGTAGCAAGGGGCAGGGTAGCAAGAAGGGAAATCGACATATCGTAGGGAAAAGGGAATCCTCTTATCGCGACGAGCAGGTATCTTCGAAAATCGGGAGATCCGTGGAAGCGCGACAAAGAACTTAAGCTCCGATTTGTTGCTCCAGATTACCGGTTATTATGGCCATCTTGTTCGACGCTCGCGCGAGATCCTTGCGATTTAGATGATACATGGGTACAATAGTATCTTAGAAATCGAATTTGTCTGTGTAGTAGCAATTCCAAGGTTTATATATATATATATATATTTTTATTTTTTTCCTTTATGAATGTATTTATTTCGTACGTGCTGAATATATTGTACTATTATTATTATTATTGTCATTATATCACGAGCACCAATAAATGATGTCATTTTTTTCAAATTAATGAACATTGCCATCTAGCGACAATAATTTAAAAAAAATAATTTAAATTATTGTTGACTAAATGAAATTTTGTATCAGAAAACAATATTGCTTATAGGGTAATTTAACCTATTATTTACATTTTCCTAGCAGGCGTAAAAACTAAAGTATGGAATAATAGTGGTCAAGCTTGGGGATTTCGATACGATTATCGACAATCCTGTAGCTTTATTTGTTATACCATTATTTTTCTCCTTGTTTCCATATTTTTGTTTCCAGTTCCTTCCCGCAATTGCCACGATCATTTTTCAGATCTTATCATCCTCTGTTTTTATTGTGCAAATGACAAACACAGTAACGAGTTTGATAATCCGCAGAGAGAAAGAGAGAGAGAGAGAGAGAGAGTGTGTGTGTGTGTCAGTAAATGTGTATGGAAGGAAAGTGACTCGGTTAATCGTCTGTTGGTATTTAAGGGCTGAACTTTGCTCGATTGGCCCCCGAGTCTTCAGCAATGTTTCCTCGTGCCTTCTCGAATAGCGCAGCTTATTAACCATGCGGCTTGTCTCTCGGGCTCGTGCACGCGTCTTGAAATAATAACGGGCCACATTGAGTTAAACGCGGAATATCTGCGAACAAATTTGCCCCGCTGTCGCGAACCTTTTCATCTTCCATTAAATTTTCGATTTCGAGCATTCCAGGCGCAACTACGCGCCATTTCACAATTCACGGGCACAAAGAAACGCGATGGCAGATTGAATTTTAGTCGGCAGAAAGCAACCTCGAATCTCTCGTAGAACGTTTCGAATTAATTAAGCGGAAAGAGATTTTCCCCCCCTCCCCCCCGCTCCTCTCTAGTCTACGTCGAATTGTTTCATATCACTTAGTGAATGAAAAGTGACGTAAAACGTGCTGTCGAAAGGTGGAAAGAAAATCGAGCCTCGAGTATTAGAAATTACACGCGATTAACGTCACATTGGATCGGACAACGGTGCAGTTTTTTTTTGGAGGATCTTAACACAAAACGTTGAACACTGGATGTAGTTATTGCTTGCCAAGTTTCGTTCAAATTTCGAATTTTCTTCGTTGGTAGTTGCACGTTGCACATTCAGTACCGAGGAAGAAAAAAAGGGAAGAGAGTAACGCGTCGGATAGCTCGTAAGGGAAAGAAACAGCGAGAGGAAACGATGCGAGGCAACGCAGAGATGACGTACGAGCACGGTGGCGCAGGCGTGTACACCGCTGAGAACACAGAGAGTAACTCAATTTCCCATCCGACAACTGCTCAATCGCAATTAACAAACTGCAGGAGAGTCTCGTGCAAACTCGACTGCGTGTGTTTTCTGAGGGGTTGAGGGGCGGGGCGGGGAGGGGAGGGGTGGGGAGGGTTGGGGAAAAAGTATCTAGATTTCACGGCTGCCGGATGGCTGGACGAGGAGAATAGGCCGGGGAGAAAGAACGCGCAGAGAGAAAGAGAGAGAAAGAGAGAGTGAGCGGTGGAAGCGAGGAACGAACGAGAAAGAAAGAGAGTGAAAAACAGTGCGAGAGTGCGTAGAGAACGGAAAGAGCGATAAAAAGAAGAGAGAGAGAGAGAGAGAGAGAGAGA